ATAGCCTGGGAGGTAACAGGGAAAGGGCAGAACTAGAAAGATAAAACCAATTAAAATTGTCACTGATTAAGCAGTTCTGCCCTCCTTTTCTGGCCAGTGTTGAGAGAGGCTTTGACTCTTCTGGTGTCTCATTGTGAAGGCAGGTTTGGGTGGCTTTTTTCAGTGCTTGTTTTGCCCCTCAGTAGTTTTGTTGGACTGATGAGTGCAGTTCTCTAGGCTCTGCTTTGTAATTGCTTTGCTAACTCAGAGGGAGGCAGTGAAGTTTAATCAGTTAACTCTGTGTAAATCAGTTTGAAATGAGTAGGTGCGGAGTATCAGAGAGGAGGCAAGACTTTTAACATAAATAATGCAATAGCATTTTCTGGTCACTTTGGAGGCATTTTCCATAGTGCAGGCTTCCCTGGGCAACACTAAAGTTGACTCATTGATGGCCCAGGTCCGTGAATCTACCACACATCTGGGTTTCCCCAGACGTGCTTCCTTCCAGAAACTGTGAGTGGAATCTGAGACACTGCCTGTTTGGCTGGGGTTTCCATCAGGGTGGTCAGAGGAGCGGTCTGCCAAGTACGCGGGGAGGCTGGAGAGGTGGCCACAGAGCATGCACAGAGCAGGTCTTTGGTGTGTGTGTAGACGATACAAGGCATAAGAGACGTGCCAGACCTGCTGAGCACATGCTGTGGGACTGACCTGGGTATGTCCAGGAAATCCAAAGCATTCTTAACATGACGGGCTGTCTTGCAGGGGTGCAAGGCAAGCAGCTGTCCTGGGCTCTGAGCTGCTTGGTTTGGAGAGAGGCTTGTGGTGGTGGAAGAGCTGGGCTGAGGAAGGTAGGAAGCAAACTGCAGTCATCGATCCCACGTCAAGGTGCTGCACATCCCCACTATGCCCCAAACTAGTTGCAAACTTCTTGGCTTCTCTATCCAGCGTGTTTCTCTAAAGTGATGCTAGATCTTGTCCAGAAAGTAGCCAGGTCCTGTTAGCTGGAGACCATCATACTCCTGAGATGAACCTAGAGTACTTTTGCAGCTCCACAGCCATCCAGAAAGTGGGTGCACGAGGCCATTTGCTCAGGGACCACCTGTTTTGGAAGGGTGGAGTTGATGCATTACAATGTGCTCTAGTAATAGAGCTGAATTTTTCTGGGACTGTGTGGAATCTGGGCTGCTTTGGGTACCTCCCAACAGTCCTTTGACTTGTTAAATCAGTGGCTAAAAAGGTGGGATTATGTATGCTGCAGAATTTGGGTAGAAAGACCCTAATGCTGAGTGACTCCCTAAAATACTAGCCTGGTTAAAAAAATGAGAAGAATCCAAATTTGATTTGAAAACTGAGTGCTAACAACTGTCTTTCGTGTTCAGCTTGGAAGCTTTGAAGAGAACTGGGTGCTTTGTTTTTAAAAGAAATTGTAACACAGATAATAAACTTTGTTTTATTTTGGGGGTTTTTGTGTGTGTGAACTAACTTCAAATACCTCTTCCTCCTCTGAGGAAGGAGCCGGGGGGGAGGGAAAATCCTTAGTCCTAAAGCAGCAAGTACATCACATCAAACATGACTATGTTAAATACTAAAATGTTCAAAGTACAACTGAGATAGATAAAGGCTTTGATGGGAAGTGGATATTTCCCAGGGACATTACAAGCAATAATCCAGATGTTATGGTGTAATGCAACGAGTGTCCATGGATAGATGGGGAGCTCAAGCCAAGCAGCGCCTGCTGTAGGGCTTAGCCCTCCACTCCCATGCTGTTACGCCATATGGAAGCAATCTCCAGGCCCCTTTAATAGCCAGCTTTGGATTCCATTTTCACAGGGCTCATAGAGCTAAGTGGAGCTGTTTTATGGACAAGTTAGATAGAAGCCTTTCCAAGATAAACATCCAATTCGAAATTAGGACATACCAAGCTGCAAAATTATTTTAGGGCATATTTCATGGAAGCACTGCCATTTTTCTAAGGCGATTGCCAGACTGTAGAATGCCCTTTGATCCCTTGCGGACATTACTCCCTTTTTTTTATTTTATTTTTTTTAATAGAAAGGATTTTGAAATAGTTGCAGTGTTTAGGGAGGAATATATCTACCGGGACTTTGAAGTATGTCCATGGGAACAGTCATGCTTTAGCTTTTTGGCCTAAAAGACGAACTTTAAAAAAAAAAAAAAAAAAAAAAAAAGAGAAATTATATTGCAGCTGGATTTATGAATCAAAATCTCGTTTTCTTTTTAAAGGTAGGAATTTTTAATCAGTGTGCCAGGAAAGCCAAATGGGGTGTTTAAATAGAAGTATATTAATAAGCTTGTGGGATTCAAAGAGTTGGGTATTTTAACCAGTAAAAAGCGAGTAAAAAAATTTGCGAGTTCACCACCCATGATTTAAGAATTTTGTTGCTGGGTAATTGATCCATAAAAAGTAATCTTCAGACATCAGGTGCTTTTGCAATCGTTTTATTTAGCAACAACATTTCTTACTTGCTTTTAAAGCTAACACGTCCTGTTTTTAAAGTGACTTGTGAAATCTTCTCCTCCTTCTTGCTCCCACCTGTATATGACATGATTGAAGCTCCAAAGTGTGGCGAGTTAAAAGTTGCTTCACGAGAATAAAATACGGCAGGATTTTTACTGCGAGAAGAAAAGTGTAGCCTTGAGTTTTAATGTTTCCAGCTCACTCCCCCCAAATAAAGGCCTATTTAATCATCCTCTGTCCAATAAAATACTGCCAGTTAGCAAACTCTTAGCGCAACCGTGCTATGTAGGATGAAGCTGCGAAGGTAACAAATGTGGCTACCAGGTAGCCATAACTCCAGATAAAGAGCCTGGTGGTGTCAGTGTTTTTTCAGCAGGCATCAGTATTTTTGATTCGTGAGCTCAGTTTCTAGAAGCAGGAGCTCCAAAGGCAGCAGGCGAAGAGCTAATGTGGATGATGGGCAGTTGAGTGATTGAGGTGGTGGAAGATGCGTGCTCAGCCTTTCACCTGGCCATAGGCTTTATGATTGTGGGCTGTCTCCGTGGAAAGGACGAACCTGCATTTTATGGATGTAGTTGGAGACATTTAAGAGTTTACTTCAGTTTCTCCCCTCTTCCACCTCTCCTCCCCAGCTCTTTCTCTGAGCCAAGGTGGTAGATTGCTCTCCATGTTTGAGGTCTGATCTTATGAAAGCTCAGCCAGGTTAGCTGAAGTCACCTTCTCTGATGGTTTAAGCTAACCCCACTGATGCTGAACACCATCTCTCCATGGGGCCAGCCATAATACAGTACAGGCAGAAATGTCACAGAATCACAGAATGGTGGGGTTTGGAAGGGACCTCAGGAGATCATCTAGTCCAATCCCCCTGCCAAAGCAGGTTGCTAAAGCAGGTTCCCTACAACAGGTTGCACAGGAAAGTGTCCAGGTGGGTTTTGAACATCTCCAGAGATGGAAACTCCACACCCTCTCTGGGCAGCCTGTCCCAGTGCTCCGTCACCCACACAGTAAAGAAGTTTTTCCTTAAGTTTGTCTGGAACTTCCGGTGCTCCAGTTATTGCTCGTGATATCCTATTGCCCTCCATTCCCTGCTTCCTCCTATGGAATCATGGTACCTCAGTCCCTACTGGTGCTTTCATATCACGGGTAATTTGAGCATAAAAGCATGGGTTTAGGTGTATAAATGTTTCATGTTACTGACTTGCTTTTCAGTCTAGTTTCATGCGGAGCATGCGACTCTCCGACTCTTTGCGCAAGAACCAGTTGTGGAACGGTCTGGTCACCATCACACTCTTGGAGGGGAAGAATATTCCTGGAGGGGGCTTGGCAGAGGTTTTTATTCTCCTCAAGCTGGGAGATCAAAGGTACAAGAGTAAGGTAAGTATTAAGGATTTCCTGAAGTTTGCTGAAGCCAATAAGGTACTTGGTATTTCTTTTAAAAGTGTTACTACCTCAGATGGAACTATTCTTGAATGTTTTATATAAGTGAGATCAAAACCAGGAGACTAGATCAGGGACATTAACATTTTACTAATATGTTTTACATGCCAATATAGAAATAGGAGGTTAGGAGTATTGTGTGTATCTGGTTTTGTGCATTTAACATACTCGTCATATTTATGGATGTTTGACACTAATATGAAATGAAATAAAGTTACGTGCATCACAAGTGTTTTGTTCTCTGCCAATATAGAAGTTAGGTTTGCAATGTTAGATATGCTGGAAAAGCAGACCTGAAGTGGTTCCCAGTGCAGGGGCATAATTATTATTTTTATTTATTTATTTATTTATTTATTTATTTATTTATCTATTTATTTATTTATTTAAAGCACATTTATTGAAAAGTATGTTACATAGAGCAGAACCTGCCTCTCTCCTCCAAACACACAGAAAATTCAATGCTTTGATTTGAATTTTTATTCTTCTAGGCTGTGTTTACTTGTATCCAGTACTGTTTCATGGGAATCTAAGAAATTAGTGGGATTCTCAAAGATATACACTTACTCTCCAAAGTCTAATAAGAAGAGAGGCTATAATTAAACTAATATTACATTGAGAAAGGAAGAGCTCTGCATTTCATGAACCAGAAGTGTGGAGAGAAGAGGAGGAGGAAACAAATCCCCTCATTTACAGAATGTACAGAACAAGTTCACAGAACATAACGTTCAGATGTAGGCGCATCTGAAACCTGCACTCTGTCCCCCTTGTCAGACCTCAAACCAAGGTCATGACATAATGTTTTTATTTAGAAAAGCAGCTTTGAAAAATAACAAATGGGTTAGTAATTTTAGAATAAATATACATTATTCTAGTTAAGATCCCTTTTCATGTTTCTTTTTAATGGTCCGTAGCCTGTGTCGTGAATCTACAAGACTGCACTGTCTGCAGTCACAGAAAATTAAAGTTTAAGATGAGGAGTCAAGTACAATGTTGCCTTGCAGGGAGTTAGTTGCTTAACATTTCTGTCTGGAGTTCAGCAAAAATTGGGGACTGCTGCTTTTACACCCTAATAAGACTTCAAATTAGAAGTGCATCATGTTCTTTCCTGGAGTTTATTCAACTCATGAAGTATGAAATCTCAGTCATGGTCCATCTAATCCTATCTCTTGTTCTCTCAGTGGCCATGCTGATATTGATGATGGGTAGTGTAGTGTGATATGAATTGCAAGTGATTTAAGTCCCAATCTGGTGAATACTCAAAGTAACCTGAACACATGAACAATCTCACTGAACTCAGAGGGACAATTTACAGATACCAGATTAACTGGATGTTAATAGTTTCAAGGCTGCTCCTTCTTTGCCTACATCTTAACATGGAAGGGTGCAAAATTACTAGTTTAGATTCCTGAATTAATTCCAGCCTGTTTTCAGGTGATTGTCCTCAAAAAGTTTTATTCTTGACTTCTTCCAGTGTGTGAGTGACGTTGAATGCTGACCACAGTCCACTGAAAGTGGAACTAGTAGATCCACCTTGCATTTCAAAATTTCATTCACGTCGCACTTGCATATTTATCAATATTGGAAGAGAGGATGAGGTTATGTGTGAAGGGCTGGGGAGCTTTGCTTGGATTGACCTTGGTACTCGATACCCTAACATCCCACCTTGTTCTTGTAGAAGAATTGATATGTGTTTTACTGTGGAAATAAGTACCATTTAAGAAAAGTAAATATTATAACTGCATGTTTTCTAGACACTGTGTAAGAGTGCAAATCCTCAGTGGAGGGAACAGTTTGATTTTCACTACTTCTCTGACAGGAAGGATATGTTGGACATTGAGATCTGGAGAAAGGATAACAAAAAGCACGAGGAGCTTTTGGGAATGTAAGTTTTTTTGGGGGGGAGGGTATTAAGTATAAAAGATAGTGTGATTTATATATATGTATATTATTTTGTAAATTGATCAATTTATGTTCATTACCAGTTTCATGCTGTATGTTTCTCACCTTATTCTGGTCACGTCCAAATGCCTTTGCAAGGGTATGTTTATTAAAACCTATTACTGGATAATTAATTAACCATGACCTGAATGCAGGGCCACCCAAACTGACTCTACACGTTAACTGTAAAATCTCAAATACTGCGGGAGCTCATTGGGAACCATTTCTGGGAGAGCGAGTGGCAGCAAGGGGCAGTACTTGTCTGCAGTTCCATGGTGATATTGCTCCAGACCCCTTGTGCTCTGCAGGGCTGATTTGCAGCTTCAGGCTGGTGCCACCTTGGGGTCTTTATGCTCCTTTTGAGTGGCACTGGTGTTTCTGTTTGCACCTCAGTGGTGTGTCCCTGTAGCCGTATAAATGTATAGGACCTGTTAGCTGAGTTTGCTTTAGTTGGGTAATCTCTTCCCCATTGCCACAGAGGACTGATCTCTTGTGGGTTTGGTGCCCCATGCTATCGCATGAGCTCATGTTGCTTAAAGCATCCTTTTCAGAGACAGCCTCACAGGTGATTTACTCATCTCCTGACTGATACTGGATACTCTTTATGTCCTGTTCTTTCCCCTCCTATCTAACTTCTTATTTTTACAGTATTAGTATACTCTTGGTATCCTAATAGGAACTATATCTTTCCTCCTGTTGCCTTCTCCCTTCTTTTGGCAATGTTGTCCTCTAGACCCATCTCCCCAAACTCATCTTCACAGTTGGCTACACGCAGCAGCTTCAAGAACCATTTAATTTACCAGAACCCCTCTTTGGTCTGTCTGTGCTTATCTGCTGGTAGGATCAGTGTCACAACCTCTGAATTCTTAGAGGCAGGGATCGTCTCTGCAGTTGTTTGCCATTCTCACCTGGTGAGGGTTTCACAACTTGCTGACTAAATAACAGTAACTCATAAGAACATTCTCTTACTTTAAGCATTTAAATAGTTTGAAACTATTCACTGAGAAGAACAATGCCCTTTGGCTCTACAAATGTTTGTGGTTTTGCAGAGCAGGAAATGTTTTCTGGCTGAATGCTATTGCTCATCACATGGAGAAGTGGCTGAAGATGAATTTGTTCCTTCCATTCTCACAGTTGCTTTTATTACTATTGATATTCTCTTTAGAGTTAAAAAATGTAGCAGTGTTTGTGGTTTGTTCGTACTCCCTGATGTTGGAGCAATTCTTCCTTAGGTTTTTCCCCCCCCCCTTTTTTTTTCTACTAGTTTCTGGCAGGTGGTGTTCCGTGTGGCAAAAAATTATCAGCAACATACTTATTCTGTTATTAAAGATTTCAACACTGAGAAAGCCTGCCTGCATTAGATTTACCTTAAAATTATTTTTACTGTCTACATGGAGAGAAAATATTATTGTTTTGCCTTAAGCACAGCAAATTTGGTGTAGCATCAAAACAAGAAAAAAATTATACTAGATTTTAAAAAATTATTACAAGAATAGGTAAACACCAAATGTGTAATAACAAGCCTTGTTTGTACAGTGTAGAAACTTTTAACACTCAATAAATAATACTTTATGAAGAGTTCAAGTGCAGTCTAATCTGGAAAAGGATTTTGTAGGCAAAACAACATTATGAGGTGCCATGTTTGTCTCCATGATTTCCAAGTTGAGTTTTGAGGTTTCTGGATTTCACAACATCACTAGAAGTAAAGTGTTTTTGGGTTATAGTCAGTCATTAGATGCAGCAGTACAGCCCAGCTGCCCTCAAATAATTTGCATGGGTTTAAGGAAAAGGCAGAATTGTCTGGATCTTAATTAATAATTTAATAAAATATTCAATTTACAGGTAAGTAGGATGCATTATGCTCCCTCAGGACTGTGTAGATTGAACTGTGTGGACTAGACCTTTATATATATATACACATACACACACAATAATTAAATGAAGTAGAGGTAGTGCACAAGGTGGAGTCATGTCTGACAATCCAGACTGCTCAACTTTTGTGGAGTAAAGACTTCTGTTAATTCCTTTAGACCCAGGGTTTCATGTAGGCTAAGCCCCTGGAACATGGCTTTTCTCCCAGGCATAATTTGGTTTCAAGGTAAAATATTGTTCTTGAAATAGTACCTGAAGCATCTGTGGAGACTATGGAACATGTAGAATAAGAAATGTGTTGGACCTTTGGTACTAAACACTATCACCTGGGGCCTTTGTCTGCTTCTGAATTAGTGAAGAAACATTTGGTACGATTTCATGTCACCCTTCTCCTATCACAAAATGAACCCACACTGTCAATCCATGTTGTAAGCTAAAATATTAGCTTCTCCTTAGACTTCCAACTGGATCCAGTTTCTCTTCCTCACATAAAATACTGCAGCATAGAGCAGTTCAACTGCCAGGGTCCAGCACTGAGGAGTGGCTCTGTTTTGGTGCTGGATGGAATAATCCTTCTATTTAGTCTGCACAGAACTGTTAGTAACATTTATGGAGTGCTTTTTGTGTCCTTTGGGATAAGGCATGCTATAAACAGGAGATGATGTTAATGTATATTAATAAACAAAGGTGTTAACGTGTGCAGAATTTGTCCAGGCAGAGTTAAATTGTTTATGCCAAGTTGTTAGGGATATTTTTTGAAAAAGAGATGCTGTGAAACGTTGGAGGTTTATTCTTCACATGTTTACCTCCAGAAAGAGGTTTTACAAAAACTGCTAGACTTAAGACCATGAGCTATGAGATTGGAGTGCATCCAATATCTTTATGATGAATGTCTCCAGGAAACAGTGTCTTTGCAACAAGAAACAATCCTTATTTTTAAAGGCCATGCTGTTGGGATGGAGCAGAAAAATCTACTATGGCTGCATCCCAATTTAAATTTCAACAAGCTATAGGAAAAACTTATCTGTAAAATAAGTCAAAATAAGACTTTATTAATTGTTTCCCTGACACCTGTGGCATTTGAAATTCTTTTCCAAATATTGACCACAGATGCATCTTACTGTATACTGTGATAATGATTCTGACCTCTTTTGTGAAGGCTTTCAAGAATTCTATGAGGGGAAAAAAGGGGCAATGCTTTGTGCAGATTTTTTCTTATGTATTTATATACGTTTGTTTAAGTCTACTCATAATTTGATGAACTGTGGATTGAGTAATAAAGTATAACTCCATAAATACTGGTAAGAGTCTAAGCCCAGCACCTTTTAGTGAAATCTTAACATTTGATTCCCTGATAAACAAATAATTTAACCCCATATTCACTGTGTAGTTTTCTCAAGTAATGTTTCTCTGCAAAATAAATAAAAAAAGGGGGAAAAAAAAGTTTGACAGCTAAAGGTGAGGTCTGTAAGTCAACGGAACAGTCTTAAATGAAAACTGAAGTTGTGGTGTAATCCTCTATGGGACTAGAGGTCAGTATAGAGGTGTAGACCTAAAATATTGATCAGGAGGAGGAAGGAAAGCATTTAATTTTTTTATTTTTTTTTTTTTAAAGAAGATACATTTGTGTGCACAGTGCACTCTTAACTTACAGAACTGTGTCCCTTGTAGATCATACATGAAGCATGTGTGTGAAAGATTATATCTGAATTGAATATATAATATAGCAAAAGGTGACAACAAGCAGAGCTATCCTATTACTTTGAGAATTTAACTCAAGAGATCATTTGAGTTGCCTAAAATACAAATAGTCAGAGAATTTTGCCCTGTACATATTCAGATCAGGCAACTTTTAAGCAAAAAGTGGATTGTCTCCATTAGTTTTATACTGTGCCCATTGCCAAAGTCTCTTACCACTTTCCTGTGAAATAATTATCTGCAATAAGGTCTTGCAGATAGGAAGCTAAGAAAGAAGGAAAGGCAAGAGTTTCTCTTTCAGGAGGATGGGGAAAGTAGTTTGGAAATAATTAGGCTTATTTTAATAGTGTAGAAGTGTTTGTGTAGAAACTACTGAATTTATATAGTAAATTGAATGTCTTAATTGTTTTACAAAGCTGCAGTCTTTGCAGTCTAATCAATTATGTTATATAACCTAAATGAAACAGATTGTCTTTTTTATTTTCTTTCTTTCTTAAGCCTTTTGCCATTTGCAAGTCCAAATGTGGATTTTCTTTTCAGTTCCTCAAAAGAAAATAGAGGCATACCATCACCTTGAGTGAACACAGATGTTTTAAGGAAGTTAGTTTGCACGGAAATCAGACATGATTTGAGGAAGAAATGCTTATACGCCACCTCCTGCTGTTCTCCCCACCACATGGGCATCCCTTCTACACCCACACCCTTATACTCAATCTTTTCTTTGACCTTTGACTGATCAAATTCTTTTAATAAGAGAAACAATTCCATAGCTTGCTAAAACAAGCTAGAATTATATTTAACTTTGCCTTTGAGACAGGAGAGATTTCTGAGGTTATCTATTGGTGGGAGGTGCACTGTTGTCTGAACAAGTTGTCTCTTCTCTCTTACTGCATGGAAAGTTCTTAACATAAAGTAAATGCAGCTTTCCCCAGTTGTGGACTGTGGTGTGAGTGGGTGGTGTATGAAATGCTGATGTGGAAGAAATGGCTTGTATTGCCAACTCAACCATAGACCAGCTGGGTGACCCTGAGTTTTCCTCTCTGCTGTCTTCATTTTCTTCATCTGTTTAAAAAAAAAAAGGGGGGGGGAAAGAAAAAACCCACGCCCTAAAAAAAAGCCCAAAACAACAAAGAAACAAAAAAACTCCAAGACACATTCCTCCTAAAGTATCAGTAAAACTACTGCAGTCTGAGAAGCGACTGTGTTAGTGCAACCAAGGTGATGCTGACCTCCAGTGTGGAAGTGATAAGGTCATCTTCTCAATGCTTGTCTTTTTTTGTTGTTGTTTTATTTTCCTTTCTGCTCTATCTTCTCATATCTTTCTGAAGAGTCTAGGCATAGCAATGAGTTTCAAATGCAACCTCTCACACTTGGAAATTGTGTTGAGAGGCAGCCTACGCACCAAACAGTGTTGGTACTCTTCCTGGTTTACACAGAAAAGTTTATTTTCTTTCTCTTTCAAGGCACTTGAAAGCAGTTAATAAGAGTAAACTTGCAACCTGTTGTATGTTCAGTGCAGTGAATAGCAAAGAGCACACTTAAGGCAAAGTCATTCCCATTGATTCTGGTGAGAAGAAGCTTGCATGAAGAGCCGTGTTTTAATACACGGGAGCTACTAGATGAGTTACAAACTCATCAGAGCAATGACTTTTACTTCATAACGTAGTTTGAGTTTTCAGGCTGAAATGTTTTGGGATTTTTTTTTTCTTTCACCGCCTTAGCATTCGCGGAAAATAGGCTGTTAAGAAGCGGAAAGCATGCAATTTATAGCAGATGGGTATAAACCGCTCCAGCTCTACTACTGGAATGGGATCAATCAGGAACACTACATGCACCATTTACCCAGAAGAAACCCACCTGGGGGAACCCTGTGGAATTTTAGCCTATTAAGACAACACCTTAACAAGTTTAGTTTAAATAAAAAATTGTCGGCAGACATTAATCGGAGCAAAAGCTCTTGCTCTCGATCATTCACTCTCTGTCCCTTTGAGAAAAGTGACTCCCTTTGCTCTGTGGCAACAAAGCTTCTCCTTCCTAATTTTTTTTTTTTCTTTTTTCATCTGTAACTTTTGTTCAGCCTGTTCTTAAAAGTCAAACCCCACAGAGGTTCAGAAATGTTCCACTCCATTTACTGGACTTCTAAATAGAAGGCATTTAGCCCAGCCAAGTGATTAGACTTTCTGTTGCATTTAACCGCTCCCTTCACGTATAACTTGCTGTCTAGTGATCTCTCTCGGCTTTAGCCCATACTCATCTTTTATTATTATCTCTTTATGAATGTTTCTCTTTTTTTCCTTCTTATTTTTATTTATTTTTTTTTTGTGCAGGTTTCAGGTTAATGGTGCCTATTATACACAGGGATTGGGGGGGGGGGGGACTTTTAAGACAATCCTTTCCTTTGGGAAATATAACAGTACTCTGAAAATGTAGCTCTAGTAAGGCTTGTAAAAGAGATTGGGGCATACAGTATAATGTAGCATAAAATGGAGGATGTGACTTTAAAGAAACTAATCTATTTTAGGCTAATGTTTTAAATTTTGCATTTGCCCCTTTTCTTTTCCCACAGGTGAAATAAAATTGTGTTTCAAATCCATCACAAAGCACTAGGGGATTTTAGAGGGGAAGTGAGGCAGGCCAGAGTTAAGTTTTCCTACTGTACTTGCAGCCCAAAGCTTTTACCTCTGCTTACCAGTAGGTGAACCAGAAAGCAAAACTGACAGTAAGTGTAATAGAAACTGGCTAATTGGTTCCCCATGTTTAATTTTGAGATGATTTTTTTTCTTTTGCATTCTTTCCATCCTGAACAGGCAATAAGTTTTGGTCCCTGCTTGCTACCAAAATCTATATAAATGTTGCTTTATTTTTTTTTCCATTTTTTTCTTTATTAACCCTTGATACTGTCATTCTAGGTGCCAGGTTGACATTACTGCCCTGCCAACTAAGCAGACAAATTGCTTAGAGCTGCCTCTGGAAAAACATCCAGGGTCCCTGCTTATGTTGATTGCTGTTGCTCCATGTACAGGAGTGTCTATCTCTGATCTGTGTGTCTGCCCTTTGGGAGACCCCAGTGAAAGGCAACAGATTTCACAACGCTATGTGAGTTTGCTTTTTTTTTTTTTTTCTTCTTTTTTTCTCCTTTAGTTTTGAAAGTAGTCAAAATTGCAGGAAAAAAAAAATTAAAAATTGTCCAGTCATAGTTACGTCTCCTGCCAGAGAAAACTATTGCACAGAATAGTTATTATGTTTAGAATGACATGGAGATTGGCAGGGCAGATAGACCCAAGCGATTTGACTTGTATTTGTTGAGTTTTAAACTAATACTTTTCATTGCAAACTTGAGTTGTATTAAGAGATTATCATGGGGAATGAAAGACACTGAATGTTGTGGAGAGATCATAGTATACTTAACTTGCTTTCCTTCTTTGGGGAGGATATGTTCTCAATGTTCAATTATTGGAAAAGTCCTCTAAAGCTGAGAGAGAAAAAATAAATGTATCTCTCTGAAATGGGGTGCGAGATTGAGACATTTGAACCACTTAAGTCAAAGTTTTTGAGGAGATATTCCTCGCTTCCAACTGGGTGTGTTGCCTTCCCAACCCGTGCTGCTTCTCCAGGTCTACCTATGTTCTGTTTTCTGTTTTAGTTGGCAGATGATACTTGCATAAACATGCAGGGCTCCTTCCAACCTCCACCACAACATTAACATGTAACTTATGTGAATGGAGAATTTCCGTAGGAGCAGGTAGCTTGGGATGTTGTGAACCTCGAGGTCATGATGCAGTGAGACTTGGCTAGTGGACATGCATTTGTGGGTATACCAGGTGCTGAACTGAAACACCATAAAAATAGTGATGGATATAAAAATGTAGGTCATTTAGTAGTTCGATAATTTCTGTTTCTTACTGAATTACAAATGAAATATGTCTTTATGTTTTCCTCCTTGCAGTGTATAAAGAATTCGTTTCGGGACATAAAGGACATTGGTTTCTTACAAGTCAAAGTTTTAAAGGCGGTGGACCTCTTGGCAGCAGATTTTGCAGGTATTTTACTTCTATTTTCCAGCATATAGTGCTAGAATATATTGTGAATGCTACTTAGACTTTGTGCAGTACTGTCAGTTGATGAAGGAAAAGTAAATCTTCCCATCATTTCTCCAGCAGTGAAACCTGCCTCAGGGAAGAGTGATACCAAATGGTTTTGATTTCCAAAAGTATGTGAGAAGGTCCAGTGGATGGAGATCTGATTTCCCCTTTAGATCTGAGCAGCGTGACCAATAGCTTAGCACTTAGCATGGTGTGCTGTTGTATTTTCCAGCAGGAATATGTAAAATAAGAGTTGATATAAAGTGATAGTGCCTTCTAAGCTGCCTTTCCATCTTTTATTGGGTGCCTTGTGAGTCTATGAACAAGACTGAAAGATTTTGGGGGCATCTGACACAGTGTCAGTGTGTGGGTTTGGGTGATGCTGCAGGCTGTCACCTGAAAAAGAAAGCTTGCCAGCAATGGAGATGCGAGTGTGACGGTTTCTCTGCAGCTTGTTTGAGGCTTCAATTTGGACTGGTCTTTTTCGTGCTCTTACTCCAAGAAAAGGATGGATTTTCCACTGAGCTGTACCTCAAATTGTGCTTGGTCCTGACAGCAATGGACACAAACTTTTTTTGTGCTGTCCATTGCTGACAGCAATGGACACAAACCTTTTAAAAGTACAACTTTATATTATTTCTCCAGGGAAGGTCTAGGGAATTGATACTTCTCTGTAGCGACTGCCTGGAAATTATTATTTTTATTACCATCTTCTCTGGGATTCTGGAGACCTTTTAATTCCCCTCTGTATCTTGCAGCAGGTCATAATTCATAGACACAGCATTGTGTGTTGTGTATTTGCTGACATAGTAATTTTTAAAGATAACTTGTTGATAAAGGCAGGAAAGATGCTAGAGAGGAAACACTCTTGCCCTATTTTCTGGTATTCATGCAGACATTGTAACGTAAGAGAACATTGCTCCTAAAATAAGGACTAAAGGAGAAAGCCCAAGGTTAATCGTGATACTGTCTCAGTTTCAATTCACTAAACCCTGCAGTGGAAAAAATATTAGTGCGGAGAACAATCAAAGGACTGAAGAACTTTGAAATTTGAAAACAAACAAAAAACCTACCAATAATGCCAGGTAGCTTGTACAGAAATGCATTTCTAAATTGACATAGTATGTGCATCTATATGGAATTAGGAGGGTAACTGCAATTAATTGGTTTATTTTAACGAATTTAATAAGAGCTGTACCCCAGCAGAGCCATTGGCGAATGGCAAGGCTAGGGCTATCTAGGAATATGTGAGATTTTAGTGTAGACAGTGTCCAAGGGAAGAGCTTGGAAGGTTACCTACCTATTGGAAAACTTCACTGATGCTAATGCAGTTGCATTGGTGATGGATTTGGCCCCCTTTCCCTCAATGCTTAAACAGGAGCACGTGGGTGGATAATGAACATTGGAAGAGACGCGAAGGTTCTTGATTCTGCAATTCAAAGACTTTTCATACAGAGTATGTGACACACATTCCTTGTGCATAGAATGAAATTCTGCTTAAGTAAAAGGTTACTCAGTCTGTCATTATATTCAAAATAACCCAGGCTTTGAGCCTGATTCATGAAGCAAGTGACAAATTGTTTTTCAATGGCAGTGCTGAAAATATCCTAGTATTATGCTGTAATAGACCCACCAAATTGCAAAAGGATGCAGCCATTTTAGGTAAAAATAGCATAATTTCTGATCGTGAAATGAGAGACATAAAGATTAATTATCTGTTCTGAGCCATTCATAAATGATTAGTGCAGCAATTATGGGCTTCCATAATAGAGCCCTCCTAGAGCAGTGCCATATTTCCTGCATTGCCAGGGAGACTGCTCAGATTTATTGTTATTGATAAAAGTAAATTCAAAGTCCAGCTAAAAATCTGACAAAGGGAAAAATACAGAGACAAGAGATAGTAAAAGGATTTCCAAGGGTTAATAGAGGAGCAGTAAGAGCAGGTAGTGTTCCCTGCCAGTCCTGTCCTGTCCCACAGCAGTCACAAGTCTTGGGTGGGTGAACTTTGCAGATCATCTCATGACAAGTGTAGTGCCACCTTACACCTTATTACTTATTCCCATAATAAAGATTTGGTGTGATTGGGGTTTCTCTTGTCAGTTGGTTATATGCTGGCATTATAGATTTTAATTGCAAGTTTTTAGCCTGCTATTATAGCTATCAGAAAACTACATAGTATCTGCTTTGGTTTTGAACATTGTTTTAAAAAAATCCATATTTTACCATTTGATGTAAATCTGAGACTAGTTTCCCCACAGATATATCAAATATGTAGAAGCTCTTCAACCACAACTAGCCCAGTTTGAGCCTTTCGTACTTTTATATTCCTAGACAATCATTTTGTTGACGTGAAAATGACTTTTTCTGCTTTGTTGGATGTTTTCTGTGTACGCATGAGAGTTCTCAAACACTGCATTTGCTCACTGACCAAAAAATAGCATTCAATACCAAATTATACAGTGGGAATGTTTTTGGCATATACCAGTTTGCATTTCAAGCAGTTTCTCTGAAAGGCTACATGCATTTTCCACGCTTATCAGGGAATGGGCACGTAAACTGAAAAGGAGAAGACAAATATATTCCAGTAAGACACATGGTCTTTAAACTTTACCAGTATTGACTAGTTAATACCCACTGTTTACATCCTGAAAAATTTCCTATTTAGTTTATAAACTTCTCAGAATAAGAACCTTAAGAGCTCTGCATTAATAATACCAAAAATAGGGATTAAGAAAAAGACAGCTCTTGCTTAAATATCTTGTTTGTCTGCTATCTAAATCCCTGCATTGCTGAACATATTTAGTTGCCTACATAGAAGTTAGGCTGGAGTGCCTGTGGCTGAGATCTACATGAACACTGAAGATGAGATTAAATCAGATATTGAGCCAGACATGCTGATAAAGGCTGCTCTGTTCACGATGGAAACTGCTGAGCTGCAATAAGTTATGAAAGCTACAAATTCATACACTGTGAGTTACCAGAAAAAATACGTTAGTGAATATGCCTTCACCATAATAGGTTCCATTTTGACATCCTCCTTTGGAGAAGAGATTGAAGTTGGTTTTTTTGGTTTGTTTGTTTTGGGGGGTTGGTTTGCTTTAAATACGATACCTGGTTCACACATGGATTCTCCAGTTGATGTTGGGTTTTGTTTAAACTGCAGCACTGTGTAGGGTCCTCATAGCTTCAAGGACTTGCTCACGTGGAACTGATTGGAGGAACATTGCTGATACAAACACATTGCTGTACTTATCTTCTCATGGTGTGGGTACTGTAATCAACTGAAGACCACAAACTCTAAGCAGAGGATAAAAGAGAGAGCTGTAACTGCAGCACTGATGCTTACCTGGGTCAGAATGGTGGTCCTGCTTTTGTAATGTCATCTGAGTAATTGTCAACGTGAGCAGATTTTTCTTGCTATGAAGACTTATAGATGATTCACTGTAAGTCTCAGATTTCAGGTATTAAGTTGAAGCCACCTGAACGAGTTGTAAGGTAAGTGTTAGAGTTTCCAGCACTGAGGATGCATTAGAGAGAGTGTTTATTTAGCAAGTCATTCCAACAGAACGAAGCATTTTGCAGTTGTCTTAAGGGCTCTTATTTTTATTTGACCAGTCACTTCCCCATCATACTTCAAAGAAAGAGAGTGCATGCTAAATGCAATAACTGATCTTTTTTTTTCTTTTTTTTTTTTTTTTTTCTATCTGATCTCTCCCTAGGTAAAAGCGATCCTTTTTGTGTATTAGAGCTGGGAAACGACAGTCTTCAAACACACACTGTTTACAAGAACCTCAATCCAGAGTGGAACAAAGTTTTCACATTGTAAGTGGATTGCTTTTGAAATCAAGCTGCAACACCAAACAGCAGCTTAACTGTAACAGATGACAATTTTGGAAAAATACAAAGGTCAAGTTTAAGATCTGTCATTTTTTTCATAGTCAGAGAGGATGTTGGAGAAATATCAACTATAACTCAATTAAAGCCTTTTCCCTTTTACTGGTTCTTGCATGGAGTTTATTAATAGAAGTCATTAAAAGAAAAATTACTGTGATATTTATAGGAAGAATCATGACGAGACATAATGGAGTCATAGCTGGATCCAAGAGATAATATCACAGAAAGTAGAGACCAGATACTCATGCCTACATTTTCCATAATTTAAAACAAAATAGGTTTCATTGAACCATGGTAGAATCCTTGTTTAATTTGTAAGTAAGCAGAAAATTAGAGCTCATGTTGTTCCTGGTATATCTTCTGAATTTAAACTAGTCAAACATGGCTTACCTCAAATTAGAAGCTTAAATTTTTGTGTAAATAAAAATATTCCTTTTTTGGTGATGTTATTAATAACAAAAGTGATAATTTAGGTATTAGCAGCACAGTTTTTTAATCTTGTTTTGGGCTGATAAATTTTTTTGTGAATAACTGATATGAGTGTCTCCAAGACTGTAGTAGTCTGTGGCAAGGAAGGCAACTGTGAGGGCTGGCAACAGAGCATTGATGACATTTACATCTGTCCATCAGAAGAACAGTTTGAGAATGATGGACTTCTTTGCAAAAGTAACATTCATAAATACCGGGCTGGATGCAAACACAATGAAAAGTATCTGATCTCTTTGGTAGAAGTACCTTGCTGGATTTCTGTTTAATTAATCTATGCAGCTGAACACATGGCTTTTGGAGTCCTTTCTCTTACTTTGTTCTCAAAAAGCTTCTGTTCATCACTGTTTATTCTGGATTGTGCCAGCAGATGAGTCTTGTCAGATGTTCAGCCAACAAAATAAATCTCATAAGAATCCAAAATTATTTTATTTAAAAAGAAAGTTTGTGTCTTTACTTCCTGTGGGTCTCAGAAATGTCAGCTATGGACTATCTCAAATTTTGTTATTGCTGTTGCATGGCTAATCCAAGCACTAGATTTCTTTTCCAAAAGGAAAACAGGAGATAACAAATGCAACTCATAAGTCATCTCCAGTTATCCATGCTTTTTCAGGCACATAGATACAACTTTTCTCAAATGAGACTGATTTTTAATGATCTGATAAATACTTAAGACTGAGTGCCAGCTGCCACATCAGCAAAGCATTTGCAATGAATGGAACAAAAATATTGTACCATTGACCTTTAATTAGGGTTGTTAGGTTTTGGTTTTTTTTAAAGTAGTTGGTTTTATTAGTACCTTAAAAGGGAGATAATTGTTCAGTAACTGTTAAAGTCAAATGAAGTTACATAACTTTTGTTTCCTGGATTATTTCTTTGATATCCTGAAGCCTGTTTTTTAATTCAGCCCTTAAGACCTCTCCCAGTTGCCATCTTTCTCTGTTGGAGAGCTGAGTTTTACACTGTTAACATCAACATCAATGCAGCAAAAATGTCACCATCTGGTGGTTACTTTCTTCACCTAGGTATGGGACTGAAACATGAGGGGAAGGCTTGGGGAATACCCATCATTTGATTCATTTTTGGGGGGAATTTAATTAAATGCTAGTTTTATACTCCAAGGTAATACAAACTTAATTAGTAAAACAGTATTCTCAGATCTTTTTGGAGGAGACTGTGTGCATGTGTATTGAATATTTTTTTTTTATGTGTCTGCACTTTTCATTCCAGCCCTATTAAAGATATTCATGATGTTCTGGAAGTGACAGTGTTTGATGAAGATGGAGATAAACCCCCTGATTTTCTTGGAAAAGTTGCCATCCCTTTACTGTCTGTAAGTTACCTTTGCCATGTATATCATTCAAACGTTGATGGCTTCGCTGGGAACAAGTTGCATTTCTTTTCCCCATAGCACAAAGCAACACAGATTTAGATAAACAGGTTTTGTGATCTATATATGCCTTAGTTGGCAGTGTTAATAGTCCTCCTTAGTGTAACGAGCATTACCGACCCATTTGAGAATGAATTCGGTTGATTGGGAAGAAAATTGCAGAAGTGTCTGTACTTCATCAGTACTGTATGCCACGTAGGTCTGAAAACATAATTGAGTTGTTCTGTATGTTTCCACATCATCTTCTGAAGGTAACATTTTAAGCATGTCTTTGTTCTGTCTTGCTTCTTTTTACTCCAAGGAAGTAATTGCACATCACAGTAGGATTGACTAGAGATAGCTGTTGTTATTGGCACAGCTGAATAAAATTACCTAAAAGGGGTGTTTTCTACTCTGTAATGCTTTTAAAGACTGGTGGCTTTTGTTCTGTAAACAAATATGTGAAGAGTGAGCTCTACTATGGGAGTGTAAAATCAAAACTGGAAACAAAGCAAGCTCAGTGGAAAGTGGTTGCTCTGGAGACTAAGGAGAGTTGAAGCTTTTTCAGAAATGGCCAAAAAAGGCCAAGATAAAGAGAGGGCAACATGAAAGGGTCATTAAAAGGTATTAAAAGAGAAATGAGGGGAAAGCAGCTTTGAGTTTGGTAAGACTGATTTAATTTTGGAACAAGGCTGGTGGTAATAAAGTGTGTAAACCAGATCAAGAGGATGTAAACAGCTCCATGTGTATATGCAGTATCACAGGAGATTCTGGTAATTTTTGCAGTAAAGTTTGAGGAAAAACTTTCTAGGCTGTGACTTTTAGTAAATCAATTAGTAGATGAGGCTTGAAACATCATGGGACTCTTGTGGTCGTATCAGTCAAGTTGTGTAAACACATTTAACTGTAGGCATGGGAGTTTCCTTGAGTTTTGAGGCACCCATGTTCTGCAGTAGGTTCCTTATGCAGAGGAGAAGGTGTGTCGGGTATTTATGCAGTGAGTACTGAGCCGAGCCCTGTGCAAACATTCATGCTTGTGATATATAGCATTATTCAATCAATACATGCAGTAGTGAGATGCTTTCTGTAATGCACAGTGTGAGGCTGTGGGTAATAGCACTCTTGAATAGGCAGATGGTGAATCCTGATTGAAATTATGTAGTACAAAATTGCAGTATTGTTTTGAAACATCCCTGTGAAAGCATATTTACCTCTGTAGAAAGGCTGGCACACATCTTGCATGGTTAAGGTAGGAGTTTGTCTTTGAGTTTTAAAGGTGGGCTGCTGCAGGAAAGGCAGTATTGCAATAACAGGTTAGTGGAGCTCTGTCCTAGCAGAGTCTGGAGAAATGGGAGGTTTCTAGAGGGAAAGCGAAGGTCCCATCTAATCAAAGTGGGCCATCTAAACCCCACAGAGTCAGCATAATTTAGGTAGAAGACAAATCATAGATCAGAGAAGGGAACTGCAAATATTTGATGTTTCCAAATAAATAATGAACTGCCCAGAAAACTCTTGAACTGGCTTAGAGGATATGATCCCAACCTAAGGAATGCTTTATAGTGGTAAAGAAACAGGCCACTCTGCTCCAAATTGTTATTACTTTGTCTAAATAAGTGTATTTCTTGTGTACGTGCATTTAAACCAATGTGGCTTCTGAAGCTCTTCATGGAAGTGTTTTCATCCACAGTGTGCTCTTTCAAAGTTATACTGGAGTCCAGAACAGAGGAACTCCTGCAATTTGGAGATATAAAGAGCCTAAGCTATAGGAGCTGGAGAGTAAATACTGAGCTTTTGGTGCCCCACAGACTGTGGTGTGCTTTACAGTCCTCTTCTCTCTGTGGCTTGGACTGCAGGTTCTTTTTGAAGCTGGGGATATTTTAGATTGTTTGTCTATTTTAGTGCTTAAGTTGTCAATATCTCCAGTTTTAGAACAATATTAGAGTCAGTTGGGCATGGAGGATGATTTGATGTTTACAGGGAGGAAAAAAACCTCTTAACATCTTTTATTCCATTTTTGATCACTCTGTTAATTTTTCCCCAAGTCCTCGTATCTCTGATGTTACTGGAAGAGAGTGGCTGGAGCAGCTGCTCTCCTGCAGATCCAGTGCTTGCCAAATGGTCTGCATGATCGGCAGCAGGCTGTGTGGGCTCACAGTGAGAAGATGTTAGATTTGGATTTTCTGTTGATTTTATAGGCATTTGTCAAGTATCCCTTAGGAAGTATGTAACAAGGCAGAGGAGAGGGAGTGCATGTGTGTGGTAATGTCCAAACTATTCAGCGTAGGTTTTTTGTCCAAGGTTTGAGACAAAAAAAATAAAATAAAAATTGTTTATGCTTTCACTTGCCAACTGATCTTCTTCCTTCCCGTCCAAACTCCTCTGCCTCCTATTTCAGTTAAATCTAGTGTAAATATATTTGTCTCTGCTACTGATTAAAAAACATTTTGCACCTATTAACTTAGTCTGCTCAGTTGGGGAACTGCAATTTTCTAAGCTCTTTTTCTTGAAGCGGGAATTTCGATGTACGTTGTCACTTTGAATATAATTTTGAATGTATCCTTTGAACCATTTAGATAAATATGCTGAAAGAGAACAATAGTCAAAGACTCGAGGAAGCCTCACAAATCATATAGGTTTAATTTCCCTAGGTAATCAGGCCTAATATTTGCCTTGCATTAAATTCTCTTTTGAAAATAGAAGTGCATTTGCCAATTTTTTTTCTGTTAAAAATGCACAAGTTTGACTTGTGAGCTGTCAGCACATGAAATAAGTTTACTTCAGGAATTGTTCATGGATGACTAGATTCTTTTCTTAAGGAAAAAATGCCTTGAATAAAGTATATGTTGGAGGGATATGAAATGTTTAATTGATTTGACAATGAGTTTTAGTTTAAATGTGTTCAGGAGGCTCACACTGGCATTTTGCAAACACACATACACCTTCATCATCACATTAACATACAAATAACCTCGCTGCACAAAACAATCAGAGATGTTGAAATTACTGATGCTTTACGTTCATCCTTGACTGTGATCTAGGCAGGTACCAAATAAGAAACAGAAAAAATTGGGCACTATGAGAAGAGTTTTAAAGTGTTAGATGACAAATAAAGCTGAAAACTTCATGTTCTTTTGATAAGCATGATGAAGCAACACTGGATGCGTACACAACTTGCTTTCTTTTCATACAACTCTATTAATAATGTGCTATAGAGACACTGATTTTGAAAGCGTTATACTGAATTTGGAATTTCCTCTATTTGTAGGTAGGTGGGGGACAGAGGGAGAGAAGTGGTTATTTGCTTGCATTTTGTCTTTAGCTTTTCCATGTTAATCAACCTATTGTTTGGTTTTTTTTTTTTCTCCCTGCTTTTCTTTACATAAAACTACTGTCCTCAAAAGCACATATGGGAGACCTCATCTCAGGTGCAGTTCTGGTCAGCCACATTCACAGAAGAGGAATTTAAACTGGAAATGACACAGTTTAGTGCTACCAGGATATTCAGCAAAATGGATTGCTGTCTTGCCAGAGGTGACCTATAGAGTCTGACTGCCTAACTACTGGGCTGAGAAGGATATCGCTTTCTCAGAGCCTGGAAAATGAAAAGGAAGACCATGTGCACCACGGGACAGAGCAGGCTTTTGTGTTAGAGAATTTCTCCATTCCTGGGGAATGGAGAAATAGGGCAAAATCTTCATTGCTTCAAGGAAGGAGTTTGATAGGTTTAGAAGTTTTGTAGGTTCTGGAAGACTTGACTTGAACTAATTATCAGAGAAGTCCTTTCCATCTCTGTGTTCCATTGTGGCCTAGATCTTAGTAAAAGCAACTGTGTTTCTCTTTGTGAGGGTCTATCTTTTTTGTTTTGCTTCAAGAGACTCCTATCTCCTAGAAGACTGCAAGTTATTAGAGACAAGAGAGTATATAGTGTGCTTCAATTAATTTGAAAGCAGAGTATATCAAATATCTTTGTGTAGAAAGACCTTTGATTGAATTTGCATCACAGAATAGAATCATTTTTATCTCCTGAATTATCAGCTCAGAGTAGACTTCAGCTGCACCCTTATTTTGGCAAACAGGAAGAGGTCTATGAAATGTATTCAAGTGCCAAGCAAGGTCGATAGCCAGTGGTACACTGAAAACAAGTAGTATTCCTTTCGCAAGCTTAATTACCTAAAATGTGTCCTGGCTTCAGAGAGCAGGCACCCGACGATTGCAATTACTTAGCACTTGACCATAAGTGCACAGTCTTTTCCAGGAGAAAGCTTCAGAGTTTGAGAAAAGTGAAAATGCTATATTTATGTGATAGAGGCAGCTGTGAAGTGGATAGTCTGTTCTGACTTTTATCCCTATCATGAACCAGAAATTTTGGAATTAGGAAAAAAACCCACCACATCACTTGCAGGAAAAAACAACAGTTTGTTCCTGAAATTAAATCCTCCCCCGACCATGAAATGGTATCGACAGGAATGTTTTTCTCAAGTACCACCTAGGATCCTTGTGCTCCCAGGGTTTCTAACTCCTCATCAGACTGTCTGGAAGCCCTGGTGTGGCTGCTTGTTTTCTTTCAGACCATCAGCTCCATATGTATTTGGTCTTTGGATATCCATTCTCTGCCAAGAACCCAAATTTCCATGCTAGTTTAGATCTCAACAGAAGGTTTTAAAAAGTGAAATGTTTGGGGCAGAGGGTTTTGGAATGAATGAATGGGCATTTTGTGCAAAATCTAATCAAAGTATATTGCAAGACTGGGGAGAAGCAAAAAAAACCCCCTCTCTTTATTCATTTCCAGGTGGATCAAATATATGACTTGCTTTCATCTTTTCCTGGGGAAATATGTCCTTTGATAAGAGTAGGTGTGTGTCTATTACAAGACAGCTTTATGTTATTCAGGGCAAATGGTATGACATTGTGCATCAGCAATGAGCTCAAGCAGGAATATCAGAGGTCCCACATGCTTTAGATGAATTACCCTTGGAGAGTAGCCATTACCCTTTCCACACGTCACGGGTGTTGATGTACAGAGGTTTAACCCAGTGTTCTTCTGTCAGGTCATCAATATATGACATTGAATCTGCATCAAAGCTGGATACAGAGTGAAGTTTTCTTAAAATCAATGTGGAAAAAAAAAAGCCACTAAACCATATTTCTTTGAGACAAGAGCAATGAAAAAACACCTTTTGCTGCGTAAGGGTCCTGTCTTCTCCGTGTTTTGTGTCATATCAATCTCAGCTTTCGCTATTTCATTAAAATTCCCAAGCGGTCAGAAGGTTGCTGCTTAATAGATTTAGCATTGGCTGGCTACATCAATACTGTGTTTAGTCACATTTGTTTTACTGGGACATCTGTGGGAAGAGTTTAGCAGATATAGTCATTCACTTGAAAGGAACCCAGTGCACTTTGGGCCTTGACTGTACGGTGGTCTCGTGTACCTGAATGCTTCCTTCAGTTAAAACGCTTCCAGGAATTGCCTCTCTAGGTCCAAATACTTAATGCATAAAGAATTTTAGCTTTTCTTCCAACTGATAATTTCCTTTACGTAGTCCTCTATGGAGAAGGAACTGTGAAAGAGCATATATGAATTGTTCTGTGAAAAACATTTTGTCTTTCTGAGTTGATTGAGAACAAGGGAAATGCTCCAAATGTCAGCAATTCCCATAGGAAGAAAATCCTGACTTTTTTCCAGAGATTTTCTGATGGTTGGTGGAATAGGCACTACTGTCCTCATATTAATCACATAGTTATGGGCAGTTTGGTGATTGAACCCCAGTATGTATTGCTGGTAAGAAGCTTTCAGAGAATGCAAGCATTAGTGTTCAGTGAGGATATAAAACATAATCAATAAAGGAATAATATTGATTATGTCTCTTTAAGGACCTCACCTGCAGATATTTTCACATTTAATTTGAATATTCTTTTCCTGCCCTTTTCCCATAAGTAGATGTAAACATTCATGGGAAGGATAACCTATTTCAGTCACAACTACCAGGAATATTTATTAAGTACAATCCGTGTGAGATCATCAGATATGTAGCAAAAGGTGTTTGGGTGATAGAAGAAATCTGACCTTTGTGACAATTAGGTTCATCGCAGGATCTCAGCCCTGGCTGCAACATTTGCTCACCTTTTTCCACAGCTGGAAGGGGGGTTGAAGCAGTCTTTGTGAACAGCAGAAACTAGGGAAAAGTATCCAGAGAGGGGAAAGAAATAGATGCAAAATGAAATTAATACGACTGGCTGTCTCTCGAGATTGAGGGAGACATTGAGCAGAATCTGAATGCTGGCCCAAAAACACCACACAATGAAAATGTAGAGTATTAAAAGCTATTTTCGATGTTTTCTTCTAGGTACAGTTGAGACATACCACTGATCTAATCTCCATACAGTCATGGGTGTTAGGACTACCCTACACCTTTTGCTGAACTGTTAGCATGTTGCCAAAAGTATAAGGGATATTTTTCTCTGACTTTTTTGCAGAGTTGTTTTCTTCTTCTTATCCCAGTGAAAATGCAATGGAGAAATGCCATTTCATAGCCAGTTGTTCTTCTCTCTTATACTTTTTTTTCCTCTGAAGAAGGTCAAAAGCTAGGATAGCTTTATGAATGTTTAGTCTTAGGCTGAGTTATAATTGCACATCTTTTACCAGGCAAGTCAAACACTTAGAATTAAAGATGCCAAATGAAGCTGACTGTAAAACTGTATTTGCATTGCATTACTTTCAGCCCTGTTCACTTTTAAAGTAGCAGCAACAACAACACCACCACCATTTTAAAAACTTCCCCGAGTAGCAAACAACCCCTATTTCCAAAGGCAGAGATGAAAGGTTTTTTTTTTTCCGATTCGAAAGTTACTGTGAGAACACACCTGCAGCCCCACCCAAAATGTTTGATTCAGCTCCAGCTCTTAAAATAAACAGCCTTTTTCCTAAAGTCAGAAGCATTTTTTGAGTACAGAATACCATGATATCAGACTCGGACCTTCTCAGTAGTGACAGCATTTCTTTTCCTTTTTTTATGAATTTAGCAGCATGTGACATTTTTTTTTCCTTGTTGGTTAATGCTCTTGAAAGATATAAGAAAGAAGTATATCCTCAGGAATATAAAGAGAACTTCCCATTAGTTGTTGCTCCTAGGGTAATAGGATGAAATGTTATGAGAAGTAAGTGTAACAAGTACATGGAAATTCAGCCCCCAAATTAATAACTATAGACAATCCAGATTTATGATACTGTGATATGGATTAGACACCTACATCTCTGCAGCCACACTGGGAGCAGCATACCTTTTGTGCAGTTGCAGGAGAGTCCACGAGTCAAAGCTCAGTCTAAACCTGCTGCTGGTGGCATCCCCTCATCCCAAAGGGAAAACAACCTCAAACCAAGTCCTTCTGGCCCTGTATCTCTACTGTCAGTAAATCAATTTTTCAGTTAATGTGGAAAGTTGAACAAAATCAGGAATTTTCAAATAAGTTTTGTTTTCATTCAGTAGTTTTTAAAATTATTGTTTGCCCTTGCTTGAGGGAGGTGGGGAATAAAATGTTGGAATAACAGAATCCTTTCTGATGGGCTTACAATACTGTATGTGGCAGTTGGCTTGAGGACCTTCTCTTGCCAGTCTGTTTGGCCGTAGAAGGGAGGCTAACCACTTCAGCAGCTCTTCTGTTTCAGGGCTGCAGGTTATCTGAGCCTGCTGGTCTGCAAAATTGCTTTTTGCCTGCCCCTTTCTTGGGAGCTGCAGCATCCTTTGCTGCCAACTCCAACCCTATGTATACTCTCTTGCAGTCAGGTGCTTTGTGATCAGTTTAGTGCAGTGCCTGTTATTGTTATTATTTATTGTTATTAATTAAATTCTACATATGCCTGCATAACTCCCAGCATCCTGTTAAGCAAAACTTTGGATGAGAACATAGTAAAAGCTGGAGATCGTGGTTGGATACCACTGAGGATGCAAAGTAGGTCCTTGTGAGAGCCGCCTTCTCTTTCAGCCTTTAGCTACAAATCCCATCTACCTTTTGATGCGCTGTTCAGTACAGAAAGGATGGAGCAACACTTGGAAGGAAAGTGACCTTTCTCTGGTCTTATGAAATCACTTGGTTCCCATTATGCCTTCCCCCCCCGCCCCCCTTTACTCATTTCTGCTATGGTTTATATGAGTACCTCTTCTAAATGCCAGAGCAGCAATAGCCGTTTTAAATATGGTTGCAATTTCATGCCCCCAAATTTCCTCTGTTATCTTTAATCTTTGATCATTACAGTCCCTGAATGTAGCTTTTTGGTAAGCTGCAGTTTTTTATGTTACTGCTGTTTAGAATTAACTGGTCTGCTTCCTAAAAAGCCAAATGTTTAATCAATACATATCCTACTGTGTATAATAAATACATTTCTGCCATCACTTTTTGAAGAGAGAATGCTTTTGATTTGAGCCAAATAGTTTACAAAATGGTCAGGGAGGTTTTTTTGGTTGGTTATTTTTTTTTTTTTTAATAGATGTTTAGTGCAATAGGGCCAACCGGTGGATTAGAACATAGAAATGGTATTGAAATACAGGGATGGGGTGGAGGGAGAAGTCTTTTACATGAATTAGTTAATTTTGAACATTTGTTACATTAGCATTCGCTCTACTTAAGCTGATTAATTTCTTTGGATTGCATTTGTTTCCTGGGTAATAGTTTGACAACCTTGCAATAAACTAAACATTAAGAAGTGGGTTTGTATACCGGAGTGTGCAATAGGTAGGTAAGTTGTTTGTGCCTCTTTTTCTGAACTTTGGAAGAAAAATCCTATTTTAAACCTGTAGTAACAGAGGCTGATTACTTCCCATCAACTCACTGGCTTCCAGGGCAGAATTTTCAGGCTGGTTATTGCGTGTGCTGCTCTACTATAAACTACAAGGTCTGTAAATTAAAGTTGGACCATAAGAGATTTAATCTGCAATTTTATAGGTCTCTAATCTAACGGTCATTTTGTATTTCAGGCTCCAAGTATATTATCAAGGTTTGAGGAGAGGGGTTTTTTGTGTGTGTGTGTGCTTGAAATTTATTTATTTATTGGTCTGTAGTGTCTTCCAATTCTATTGTGAATTACAGCTGGGAAAATATTGATGCTTTTTCTTCCCCCCCCAATAGATTAAAAATGGTAAACAAAGTTGTTACACGCTGAAGAATAAAGACTTGGAGCGTGCTTCAAAAGGAGTAATTTACTTGGAGCTGGATGTCCTATTTAATCCTGTAAGTTGAAATATTTTCTCTTTGCTTATCGCTGGTGTGAGAAATGTGTGAATCTGCAAGGACAGGCTGTAGGGTGATCCTGTAAAAGCCAAGAGTCAAGCAGGAAAAGTCCCGACCTGGTTGCATCTGGCAGTGGAGGGATGTTTCACGTCATGAATGAAGAAGTATTGGGGCATCATAGCTCTGTGATGGCTGATCCAGGTGGATGGGACCATGGAGAGGCATTTTTGGATTGACAAGTGACCACACACACCTTAGGAAGGAGGTGCCGATTACTGTGCGCCACTGTTTCATTTGCAACAGCCAAAAAAAGGGCTTAATGTTTAGATTATTATACATTACTTTTTAACACCTACTTTCTCCCCAAAAAGCTGACCCACGATGTTCTCTTTGCAGGGTGTTGACGGGAAAATTAATGAGGCATGTACGTGGTGCACTTAGTTTTTAAGTGACTGAGTCAGCCTCAATTGTTTATGCCCTACAGCTTTTTCCTGAGTTAAATCCTATTTATTAAGGCCATTGTGGGCTGCACCACAGCTCTGCTCTTGCTGAAGTGAGTCCAGCCTTGCCCAATTTAACTCATCCACATTTTTCCTAGCAGCTCCTCCTAGGTCACATAGAGGCTGAAAAGATTGCAAGATCCTGAAATGCCTAATCAACTGTGCTGGTAATAGAAAGTTGAAATAATGAACTTAAAACTCCATATCTTCAATTTTTATTTTGTTTTAGGTAAAAGCAAGTATTAGAACATTCAAGCCCCGAGAAAAACGCTTTACTGAGGAGAACCGCAAGTTTTCTAAAAAGGTGAAAATTGTGTCTGGCCTAAGCTCTCGCATCTGTTTTTGAAAGATTTGAATTGCTGTAGTATGGTTGCAAGGACAAAACCTATTTATGCATAAAATACCGAACAAGTGTAAATTCTGCCTCTTTCTGTAGATATTAAAAGGTTTGTTTGTGTTAACATGAAATTGCCTTCTGATCTAGTTCTGCTTTGTGCTTCAGAGTAGGGAGAATGATAGCTGTGGATGTTGCATAGTTCACAGCAGCTAAAGCTTAACAGGAGCCTTATTCCATATGGGAAGAAAGAAACCAGGTCTAAATTAGTCATTTAAAAAGTCTATAGGATTTTAGAACAATGGCTATCATCCTTTTTTTAAATAAAGGTGCTCTATAGTGAGGCTAAATTTCCCTATTTATTTCTATGGACTAATCCAAAACACATAGAGAAGAGATTAAGTGTTTTAATTACATTTTTCTGGCCCTTTTCCTGAGACATTGCTATATTTTGAGAATTGAAGGGGAATAAAGGTAGGTTTGTGTTACTGTTTTATTTAGTTTTGGCATCAAAACATGGGGGTTGTTTTTGGTTTGTTTTGTTTTTTAAGGGATGAGGAAAATCTGGAAGGTTTGGGTGTAATCACAAAGCAGACAGGAGCTGGAGTGTGTCTCTGCAATTGAGGCTTTATGTGTAATATGTGCCCTGGCATGCATTTGTAGCTTAAATTATCCCTGTTTCTGAAGCAATAGTAGGATATTGGAGCGTCTGATTAAACTCCTCTTCTCCTCCCCTCCTCCCACTCAATATTTATCAGATCTTATCAAGAAATGTTGATCGCGTGAAAAAAATCACCATGGCAATATGGAATACAATACAATTCCTTCGGAGCTGCTTTCTCTGGGAGTCCACGGTAAAGAGCGTGATAGCATTTGTGGTAAGTGGATTTCTTCTTTTATTGCATGAGGTGAAGCGATAAAGATCTCGAGTGTTACCATGCCTTCCTCTCCACCATCGTAAAGCCCTTTATCGTTTGCTGTTATTGGTATTTTGTAGCTTCATGGCTGCAGGGCTGTGGATTTCAAGGCAGCTTGGGCCACATTGGGCCTGGTGGGGATGGAAATTAGATCTTCAGGAACAGCGTTTCTTTGCTTGGTGCAGAGGTGTTCACCAGCCTGCACCAAGCACTGAGGATGCCTATGTCCGTGGTGGGTGATGCCACCACGTAAAAGGCTGTGACTGCATGGTGACTCTGTGGGGTTTTTTTGTGTTTTTTGTTTGTTTGTTTGTTTGTTTTGGTTTTTAAAAACAAAACAAAACAAAAACAAACATGGCAACTGAGTGGTAGGAAAGGAAGAAGGTGGTGGCCAAGAAGGTGATGCAGGGAGATGTCTTTGATTTGGGTGATGCAGTGAGCTTATGGGTCTTGTCCCATTTCCATGGCAATGAGGTGACACTTCACTGGAGGTTATCCATGCCTGCTATGGCCATGTCCCGGTGGCACATGAGTAGCTCTGTTGACATCGCCTGTTGCAAACATGTTCTTTTGATGGTAATAATATGTTGCTTTAAAAAAAAAAAAAAAAAAAAAGGTTGGTCAGTGAGTTCTGCTGTGCTCTGCAAACAGAAAGCCAAGTTCTCCACCTGCCTATCCCACTTTTCAGCTCTCTCCTTTTTCCTCTTGGTAGTAAACACCCCATTTACAGTTTTCTCATAATCCACTCAAGAAGCACAAAAAGGTTTTGCCTGCTTTTTATTCTGCGGTGCGACATTTTCTTCATGCTTGAAATGTTTGGCATGCCATTAAAGGTTGCAAAATTGTTTTGTGTTGGTCCAGCATGCAGAAAGAAAGTTTGAGTTGAACGTTCATGAAGCAATATAACAGCCACATCTCCAAGATTTTCTTCCCTTTTTACCGTCTGTGGATTATAAGTCACTTAAAGGTTCTTCTGAGGAAAACACTTCTGTGTATTTGCTACAGATGACTAAAGTGGACCATCCCTGACCACTTGGTTATGCACACTGGGTCTGGAAAGGGAGGGACATACATAAAATCCCAGTGCTGTTGTCCTACCATCACTGTACAGCAAAAGTCTAAGCATGTATTTAAGAGACTTACTCGTAAAAGATTTTGCACCAAAATATTTGTGAATTTACAGCTGTGAAGTTCAGTTTTCTAGACTTAGGAAAAGTTTGGAAGTAGTGGAGAGGCAGAAAAATAAGAAGGTGGGAAAGTGGGTCTACAGAAAAAGGAACTGATTCTTAGTGAAAAGGAGGATGAGCAGGTTACGAGTTATAGAATACCATAATACTCCTGGTTTCCTGAAGGAAAGTGGGTAATGGGAAAGGAATAAAAATACATGATTCTAAGAATAAATACTGCAGGTTTCTTCTACAAACCAAAATCTATCTGATTTTTTTCCGCATGAAAATAATTCAGCTCTGGCACTGAAAATGAAGTGCTAATTATATATCTCTCACTCTCTCACTATTTCCAGCGTGTGTGTTCATAGTATTGAAGATAGGCACACAGTGTGGTAGGTGCAGCATCCGTCCCTGCCCCAGTCTGTATGTAAAATCCACTCTTAACAGATTAAGTAAAAGATGTACCAAATATCACATTTTAAAAAATTATCATTTCCCAGCAAGCAACATCTATATACCTTCAGTACCTGGCTTTGGATTGTTTTAGTTTGCACCAAATTTGTCCTTGTTAATGACCAACTTGTGGCTGACACTGAACACCAGAGGTGAGGAAGATGCACAAAGTTTCTCACCCATTTTTCAGCTGGGTTCATGGTAGCTTCAGTGGCAGCCAGACTCTACACATTCCACTTACCTTCACTGTGATAATCCCAGAGATTGGATGGTCCTTAGGACCCCTCTCCCTGATGTATTGCCCTTGGTTTCCCTCTATGGGTATCCCATGTTCCTTCCTCCAAGGAGGAATAATGGGAGGGAGGAGAAAGATAAGCAGACCGTATTACCATGTGAACCTTGTTTTCTTAAGCAATCAGACAAAAACCACTGCCAGAGAGAAAATATTTGTGAGATCATCAGATCATGGCAGCAGGCAAGGATGTGGTACCTTACACCTTCCTGGGTTAGTCTTCATTACTGCACACCTCCCTCCCCATTAGTGCTGAGAGCTCTCCTGTGTGACAAGGACATTAGCTGCTACTTCTGGGTGCACAAGACAAGAAGGAACAGATAAAGAGGGAGGAAGCAGAGGACAGCACAGGCAGGACATAAGTGAATGAGAAAAATGCTATCACTATGTTTTCTCATTTATAAGATACATCATCCCAAGCTAAATTTATTAGTTTGTAATAGTGAGAGGAGAGAATCCAAGAACATGTGAGTAGATCAGGTTTCTTTGTGCTGTAAAAATGAAATAATATTTTTCATCAGCATTCTGTGATTTTTAATCTGATGATTTTTAGTCTGAGTTGATTGTATAGGCACAGAGAGCACTGATCAGGCCTGCTAAGGCACAAGTAAAATCAGAAGTTTTTCAAGCTTAAAGGTTTTGGAAAGAGACTTGAAAGGGAGCTGAGGTAAAAAGCAAAATTTTGCATTTGGTGATATTTGTCTTGTGCACAAAGGGTTTGATGCAAATTGTGTTACACAAATTCTAGAAAAAAAAAATCCTGGGTTGGAGGAAAGAGGCACAGGTAGGTTTTCTGGATTCTTTATAGTGTACATTTCACTGTTGGTCTGGTGTGAAATAGAATGTGAAAATGGACACACATGTTTGTGTGTGCCTGGGAACATCAGGAATATTCTCACATGTGGAAAATGTTGCCTGTAGTTAATAGTGTACCTGTACCAGGAGAGATCTTAAAAGACTTTGTCTGTTCTTCTCCATCAATTCAGGATTTGGGGGGATTTGGTTTTGGGTTGTTCTTTTGTTTGTTTTTTTGTTTGTTTTTTCTTTTTAAGACCGAAAAGCTCTTCAGGCATTTTACTGTTTATTTAATTTTGCTGTAGTTATCTCTGTATTCAACCCAGTATGTTGTGTTTTGACTGAAAAATGCCTCTCAAAAAGGGCTATATTTTGAAGACACCCTCAGACGTACTCTAGTATGTCCCTGTATAGTTCTTCTCATGTACCCGACACTCTTCATGTCCTACCCTGGACAATTTGTTCCCAGTTTCCAGGGTGACTGTTGTGTTTTTAACCTGGTCCTCATCACTCCTTCCTCTTGTCATACCTTTCTCCATTGAGACATCACTTCCATGTTGCGTTACTGGTGTCCAAAAAGCTGGAGTGAAATGTGCCTCGGGGAATGTCTGCTCACAGATCATCTTGTATTTCTGTGTGATTAAAAGCTGTTTGTTTTTCCCCACTCACACATATGAAAACTCGTGTTCTTACATTTCTGGTGCACTTTCAAAACAAATTCCTGGTCCTTCCTTCCTTCCACATCCAAACACTCCCTGCCTGCTCTGCTCCCCTTTCTTCCCTGGTCGTGGAAGTTAAGTCTATAGTAACTGAATCATTCTTACTGTACAATATGTATTTTAAAAATATTTTAAAAGTTAATTTTAGTCACAGAATTATTTTCCTGAGGAATTAATGCATCATTGCACATTGTGCTTGTGATTTTATACAACATAATTACACCTTCTATTGACAGTTTTCTCTGCAGTAATGGTAATTATGTCATTTAATGAAATTACAGTAATTGCATTAAAAAAAAATATAATCTGGTGCAAATTAAAAGGATCTATTGACTGGAATTTTTACTATCATATATTTTTTTTTAAAGTTTGCATGATAGTTGCAAGAGACATTGACAGGATCAGGCAAACGATGGGAAACCAGCCACCATCGCACCTCTGCTGTGACTGGCAGCGCTCGCTGCTGATTTGCTTCAGGGTCCCTGCACACTCACCCATGCCAACATACTTCATTTTTACTGGCAGCATGTCCCACTATATCAGGTTTAGGCTTCTTGCTAATCAAAGTTGCTGCCAGGATGGGTACAGGTGGGAGCTATTTTTCAGGCTCAGCCTGAGCTGGCAGCCTGGGCCAGCCAGAGAACGAATGCATCACGCATAAACAGTATTTATTTATTTTGCAGTGACATTGCAGTGTGTCTGATAATTATTTTATGATGGGTTTGTAGTGGGAGGAAAGGAAGGAATGTGTGGTGATGCAACGTAAGGTGTTTGAAATGCGGAGTTTCTGGTTAAAGTGACTGCAGCTATTTAATGGTGGGCAGCTGGGGGAATGACAGGCGTGGGATCATTTTGGAGCAATTTGGGCTTCCCAAAAAGCCAGCTGATGCAAGAGTAGGGAAGCCATGGAGGTTGTGGATACCCAGCAGAGCTTCTGGGGGTTGTGGATGCAGCAGGAAACCCAAAGTTAAGCATTTGAGCTCCTTGCTGCAGAGGGGAGATTTTGGCACCCTTCTCCATTAAGATCTCCAAAGCTTTTTAAATCCAGAGAGAGCTGGGCTGGAGGCTGCCCCATGTTTTGGCACTGGCCTCTTGGGCTGCGGGAACTGGAAGCCTGAGGAGTCACAGGACAAGCTGAGTGAGGCTGCACGATATGCATTACTGTGCCAATTTGCTTCAGTCTAATCTGGGATAGCAGCAGAGAGACAGTTTAGACTGTGCAGCCCATGAACTTTTGGGCATCTCTGCTGAGTATGCCGTTTAACATGCTGCCAATTAAGCTTGCAATATAGGAGCTGGATCTGAGCCCAGTTAAACTCATCTCATAGAGGAGACACCAACCATCTTGTTAGATATGACCAATATTTAATCCCTGTTGAGCTGGGCTCTATTTATACTGATGACCTCCAGGCAAAAGGATATTAGCTTGTTGACAGTGTCCTCTAAAATTGCTAATTGCATAGCAGTAAGAGGGAAATGTTCTTTTCCCTCAGGAAAGGTGTTTGTTAACTCCAAATCTAAGCCTTCTGGAGT